GTTGCTTATGAATCTTATGGAATCTTCGTTTCACATCTCTTCTGCCGTTACATAATTATAAACCATCATTTAGTCGTAAGGTAGCCGAAGGTACGAGCGAAGATAAGCCATAGCTGTATGGTATAGCGTCCACAATATTTAGTAAGGGTAGTAACAAGCACACCGTGGAGGAAAATAAATTACGAAATATATTTTATTAGCTTACCGGAATGTACTGAGTGTAACATGCATATAACTTTATCATAATGTCAAACTTTACAAGAGAAATGTTTATCCCTGTGAGAATCGTTGTCACGCGCTCAGGCCTTCTATTTAGATGTCACGCTGTAATTACTTACCAATATTCTGGTGCCACTTCGTGGCCATCCCGTTTTTTGTCGATTTCTTATCTTCTGAAGAACCCCAGTTTAACCTGATTCTTTCCATTACTTAAGATCAAAACAAATAGGCCTATTATAAATAGGCTATAGAATTAGCAAACATAGTAATAATGCTGTGCCTTATTGTGTTTTGTTACTGAGATGTAGTTACTGGTCTGTATATATTGCAGGCATAATCTGCTTTGCAATGGGGAGACATATTTAGTTGTGTGTCAGCAGTCAGTTACGTCTGTAGTAGAAAATTTGTTGTCTTTGTGTAAACAAAGAAATATAATATAAACGCCTATAAATGGCGAGTCAACATGGTTCGTTACAAGACACTGTCCAGTGTTAACCTTTGACGAACTGTGAAAATTTTTCTAAAACTTCATAATTGTCGTTCCTCGTTAACGATATTAAAAGTAATAGCCTTCAGATAACAAATCAGAATCTTTGTTGTCTAGTTGATAATTTTAAGACCACAAATTTTCTAGGGTCAGAATTATTACTGACGACTATTGAAGTACAAGTTATAGATCGAATTAAATGTACGCTCTTGTAAGACGGGTGTGGATCTGTGTAGAAGAGGGTTATGCAATTAAAGATGTATTGAGTATGGATTTTGCTAAGAAATGGAGTCTTTCAAAAACGTCAAGATTCATTTTTGTGTTGTATGCCCCTTCTACTGTTTGAAAAATTAATATTGCGAGATTTTTCAAACTTGAAAGTAGCACCGAATTTCAGTACTGTGATACAGAAATTAAAATGCAGCTAGTATGCAATTTGGAACAATTAACCAGACTAATGCAGTTGTCCATTGATCGGATGGTGAAATTTATATACTCCCTGTCAAGGTTTCGAGTCTCGGGATTTGAGATCCTGACAAATTAACAGTGACATAGTGCGCTGAGGGATTTTGATAGACACTACAGTAATGTCAACATTTACCGGTGGAAGTCACAATTTCTGGTCTCAGTTCGACCCATGAACGCAAACAACGCAATACGCTCTTCGCTCGGTGTAGTTGCACTTAGTTCATGCATAGATTCGCCAGGCAACAGTTTATAAGCGTTTGCCAAAGCTCGATTTAAGCCTTTAGCATAGCAAGTTTCTCAAGGTTTTATGGTAGATTGAAGTATGTACATATTTCGAGGTGTCAAGATTACACTTTGGATACATCACCACCGCCTAATGAATTTGGTTATGAAGATTTCCGTCTTCTGGGTTGTTGCGCTGTGTAGTCTGATCGACCAGACTACACAGCGCAACAACCCAGAAGACGGAAATATTCATACTCACCGCTGTGAAAACCTCAAATCTTACGAATTTGGTTATGTTTCTTTCAGCTGTTCCTCAATTTGTTTTGTGTTTGAAAATACAATGGGAGGAGGAGTACAAAGCAAACTTATCTTCTCTACTACTACAACATTTAATAGTCTTTTTGGTTATCGATACAGGACGCTAATAATAACGAACTGAATTATTATTACTGCCAACTACGTCTGTTAAGAGACAAATCTGCGTTTACTGTGAATCGTAATTTCAAGGTTAGTCCGCCAGTCAAATGTTTTTCTGCTGCCAATGCAGTCTGTTGGATCATTAATATCTTTAACAAAGACTGTGTTATAAAATATTTTTTCTCTTGCCTTGTACCACATTTTTCTTCTTTTATTTTAGTATTTACCTGTAATTGGCGTTTAAGATGTTGCGAAGCACTTCAATAATTTTATTGAATTGGATTACTATTAATTGTAATTGGCATTTTGGCTCTTGATGAGTAAAGAATTGAATTGTTATTGTTGCTGGTAGTGATATCATTATCATCATCGTCATCATACGTCTTTTTCCGTCTTTAGTCTGTCAAAACTTGTACATAATGCCTCGAAATCCGTTACACTTGTTCGTCTGAATTTGAAGGAATTGAAATAAAAAGCGATTATTTTAAATTCACATAGTATGGATTATTTCTGGTGAAAGTACAGATCAGAAACTTTGGCTCATACGTTTTAAATCAACTTCGTGAGATCCCTGTGTTAGTGGTACAGATGACCACCTGACAGAAGGTCACAGTTTGCCTGGGCCAAGTACCAGAATTGCTGCATAAAATTTTACGGGTTGCAATAAGAAAAATCTATGCTGTACTATATGCCTGCTTGTAAGCATTTAAAGGGTTTACAACCGGCACACGTATGTTTCCCACTGCTTGTGTGGGTAATGCTTAATATAACATACCTCCTCCTCCTGAAGTTCTTTACTGTTTGTCACCTCAACACTGAAATCCTTCCAGTGCACCTGGTCCCGTCGGCGTCGCTCTGGCGTCATATCGTCCCGTCAACATTCTTGGAACTTGTTAAGTTTCGCAATGAGAGTTTTAATTAACATTGTGTACACGAATCCTCTCCCATTCTTATTATATTTTCAAGTCATTTCAACGTCATTTGATAGTGCTAGCAATATAAGCTCCGGGAGCCATGGCCATTAAATGACTGGCTATGTGCTCTATGTTCCAAACATTTTTGTTTAACATATTTATTTCTAATTGTTTAGGATTGAATGAAATACTATTATAAATGTCATACTAATTAGCATATCATTATGTGAGCATCATATGTTGCTTTCAGATGTAATTATTTTCAACTGTAATTAAGAAGTACGTCAGCCCCTGTATTTGGTATTAAATTCAGTAAATATTTGTTCTTTACAATAAAAATTTCCCTCCATGAAACAACGAGTTTTTCATGTAATTTTAGGCTTGGAGTACAGAAGCTGTGCTGTAGAATCACGTTCTGTATTTCAGAACTGTATTCTTCTCTGTAACTAGTTTACGATGATTTTTATGACAAATTTGAAGTTGTAAATATTCTTATTACTTATAGTGTTTTACATTTAAAAACAAAAATGTGTATAGACTACCAATAACGTGTCAAATTTCGTCTCGAACATTGAGACATTAAAGGCACATTTGACAAAGCTTGTTTCATATTTGTGGTAATTATATCAAGTTCGAAGGCCGAAGACGCTGATACATTGGACTTCAAGGTAGTAACATCATGTGAGCTCGTAGATACATACCATCTTCCTAGAGAAACATACTGCCTAAATTCTCTGATCAGAAGATGGAGGCAGTAAGTTCGTCCATAACATTGGTATCTACCTACAAGTCCACACGGCTTTACTGTAAAGAAGACCACTGCTGCGCCATAAGAATCTTAAATTTTTATTTAAATATTTCCAAGGAAATTCATATGAAATTAATTAAATTATGCAAAGGGTTGGAGATTTAGGGATTCTGAAAACTAAATATTATTCAAGACTTCAATAGTAAAACCCGAAAATAGCACACCACAAATATCAAGGCCACTTTCTTGAGCCATTTGCACCCTCAATCAATCTTCAAGATATATATCCCTAGATCAGTGGTTCCCAAAGTGTGAGGCGCGCCCCCCCTGGGGAGGCGGCGAGTGGTTTTCTGAGGGGGGTGTTGTTTGTATGAAAAACTTCTTAACAAAAATGGAGAAATATTTTTAACATCCTTTGCTTGGTTGAGGCAGTTAAGTTGTCCTACAGTGCTGTAGAACTCAGAGCGTATATTTTATTACAGTTTTTTTTAAATTAAATGCATTGAATAATATATACTAAATTATAAAAAATGTGTACTCATAGCTAAATTTTATGTCAAATCTGTATGCTTGCACTTGTTCTGGAACGGGGGCATGAAATTTATGAAATGTTTAAAGGGGGGCGAAAGGTATAAAAGTTTGGGAACCTCTGCCCTAGATAAGAATTAACATCAAAAAACAACGTATATAAGTTTATGCGTTATTACGAGGTGCTTCTGGTCAGTTCAGGTTAAAACAATTTTTTTCTCATATTTTATAATGTATTTTACTTCGTTACCATTTGTGTCAAACCTTGGTTCATAAAATGTACATCCCTGTAATGGCCAAAGCACGTAACGCTGCATGACTATAAATAGAATTTCAATTGGAAGTGGTCAGAATTGCTGTTGTTGATTATCATTGTGTAACTACATAAGCTTTCGAGTTGACTGCCAGTCCAACGATTTTTAAAGCGATGAAACGGTCAGAAATTGGAGTTGATTTTCTAGAGGCAGAACGAGTATTTTCCACAGTGTTTGCCATTGTGCAGCTCGTCATTGTGCACTTCGTCACTGCGTTGACGTCAGTGAATTGTCGGCACATTCCACTGTGAATGTGTTGGTTGGTTGGTTCGAGGGTTTGGTTAACGAAGTCCATTCACATACAAGGCAACCATCAGACGTTATGTAATGTAGAAAAGTCGCGTATTGTTTGATGAAAATTCTCAGGAAATAAAAAGACACTGCAATCATATTGGGCTTCGTTGTGATGTACGTCTTGATAGAAGCCTGTATAGTAGTGTAGTATAATATAACCACATCACACTACGGAACCAAGGAAAGTTTTTTTAATAATAATCATCGATACAATACTATACCAACCATGTATTTAACGTGTATATGCAAATAAAGAAATCAGACGCGTTTTATTTCCTTTCCGGAACGAAACAAATTTGTCTTGAAAGTTATTTAAAAGATATTCGGCTTCGACGGGTTAATGGTACCCTTCTGTTGAGTTCGCTCAATGTTTTTTTTCCTTTCAGACTTTGCATTATTGCTACGAGCCCCGCCTATGTCATCTTCTTTGATTTGATCATCCTAGCAATGTTTAGTGACGAACACAAAACACTTCGAAATCTCTTCTTCCATTCATGTGAAAGACCAAGTTTCATACCCGTGTAAAAGAACAGGTAAGATTATAATTGTATGTATTTTAAGAATAACACCGCGCTCTACAAAATCTGTACCTATTACAGCATAGTTTTTAAGGAAGAAACCTGTATTTCTGTTAGTTTCCTAGAACAGTTTCAATATTTGATAACACACGTAGTTCAATTATATTTTACAGTTGTATGACGAGGCTTTCAGCATATTAGACTGCTTAGCGTCGAGTAAACGGATGATAGTGAATAATGAATTGGTAAAGACAAGAAGGAAGCTGTCATAACATAAAGTCGTACCCCGGCATTTACATGACGAGACTGAGGAAAACCACGAGAAACCTGTCAGGACAGCCGATCTCCGGGCCGACATTTGAACTGGGACCTCCCGAATACAAAGCAGGCGTGCTAACCACTCGATCATTACGTTCAGTGTGACGAGATTAGAAACACATTTTACTTTTTAAACGTTTTTAATTCCGCTCGGTTGGTACCCACAATAAGTACAAGTTTATTTGTATTGAGGTCCCTGTTAGAATTATAATCGCGCATTCGATGTTCATTAATGTCCGCATGCGCGAAATATAAGGGCACTAAAACGTGTTGCGTTATGTTCGATGAAAGTAAATCCACTGTTGTCTGTGCATCGCTAACATCAATAATTAATTAAAACGTTTTTTCGGTATTATGTCTATTTAATTAAATACTTCGATAATTAATTACAATATATATACTGAATCGTTTTTCTTTTACAATTTATGATTTTCTATACTATGAGACATGTTTTGTTGACTTATTTTATTAAATATAGGTCTACATCCGATATAAGTGAGCGCAAACTGCTGAGGAATAAAACATTGCAAAGAATACTGATGGACATATAGTGCACTAAACAGTACTGGTGTTATACTATCATCTGGGAATGGTTTTGATACCAGTGTATGCCAGCAGCAAGACAAATTGAGACACTTCTTTGACACAGAAAAACAGGACGTCAAACAGTCTCAAACAGTCGATTATAGTTCAAGGCCATTTGATTAGGAAATATTCAGTGTAAAAATTATTCGCGTGTGACCGTTTGTTCATTGTTTATTTGCCTGCAATGAAGAAAAATTGGCTCTTTAACCCTTCGAAGCGGAATCTTGCCTTTGAATAATATTTAAAACTTTGAGCCATTACCTCGAGGAAAGCACAACCCCACATTCATTATTAAAATCAACTAGTAAATTTTGTTTAAAGATATAACCGCTGTTTACTCTGAAAATTATACAAAATTGATAAATACACTTCGTGGGCAAATCACAGAATTATTTAAAGATAAGAAACGGGTGGTACGTGCAGTTACTTTTAGACTCTGAAGTGTTAACGTGGATATTAAAATTGTTAGGAAATTAATGTCGTCGAAATTCATGTCACTTATATAACGATAGTAAATAAGAACAATAAAATAAAATTGTATTTCTTGTTCAGGCCATTAAATACATGACACTGATTTAAATCGTGTACAGAGTATCTCTCGCTACATGAAGACTGTGTAACTGATAATAAGACAACACATTTCCACGCAATCTGGTATAGAACAAACTTCCTACCCTCTTCCTTTCCAGTCGATCGACCGCATAATTGTTACAACTGGAGTCTTGTTTGTGCTATCGATTTCCGTTGAAGTCAAGATTGACTCGACGACAGTAGAAAGACTCTCAGCGACCAGACGCTCGTATGTTTATGTTTTCAACCCTGTCACAAAATGTTTCAACATTTTAGGTATTATTTACGCATTAGAGTAGGGCGTAAGCGAAGAACGCCTTATGTTCATGTACTGTCCGTCTGGCGATTTCCTGTTTCAGTCGATAAGATCGCCCTCTTCTCCATCTTTCGGCTCGGATCTAAATTGAATTCACTGTCATTTGTTTTGTATTGTAATCATTTCACATATTTCCATGCGTAATTTCTTAAATGTTATTACTAGGGTTCGGATGTTCATGACATGTCATATTTTTATTGGGGCTTCTATTTTCATTCTAAACTGAAATTAAACACTAACTGGGTTACCCTAATCATAATTATGCTGTTTTTATTTTGCATATAAATGCATATTTAGGTAATTTTTATGTGTTTGGTCATATTTTGGTTATATTTTGAGGATAAAATGCATATTTTGGTTATATTTTGATGATAAAATGCATATTTTGGTTATATTTTCTGGATAAAATTCATATTTTGGTTATATTTTCAGGATAAAATTCTACTTGTAACTACATTTCTCAGACACTTACAGTGAATCCCTATGTGAAATGATGGCGTCTGCCAACTGAATAAAGTGAACAATGAGCAGTTCAAATTTTTCTTGGAGAAGTACATGAATCAGTTAATTCCAGACGAATCAACACTAAGGAAAAAATGTGTACCTGCCTGTTATGAAGATGTTCTGAAAAGAATTATATGTACTGTGGGCGACAATAAGATTTGGGTTTCGATTGATGAAACAACGGATGTCTGCGGCAGGGCTGTAGCGAATGTCGTTATTGACACGCTCTTTGCTGACCGCCCTGGTGACTTATTCCTTCTTGGAACAGTAAGCCACTCCTCTATCGCTGTAATTTTCGATAACGCGATGAAACGTTTGTGATGTATTTTTATAGGAGCACATATACTCAACATCTGATGAACAGTAAGCCACTCCTCTATCGCTGTAATTTTCGATAACGCGATGAAACGTTTGTGATGTATTTTTATAGGAGCACATATACTCAACATCTGATGCTAATCCAAAACGAGGCATTTACAACTTAAAACGACTGAGGTTTTTGATTAAAATTGCTAGGAAATCAAGTAATGTAATAGTTATACATGCATATGTAAATAAATAACATGATTGAAATACAAAAACCTTTTTTTTTAAATTTTACCCTATATTTTTTCATAACAAATTAGGTCATATTTTGCCTTTTATGGGTCATATTTTGCTATTTTTGGGGGCATATTTGCATGCGTATTTCTCGGTTTTTAGGTCATGAACATCAAAACCCTAGTTATTATTATAAAATTTAAAATATAAACATTTTAAAAAGACATTTCAACAAATATTGGTTCTGAATATTTTTTTTTGCATTGTTTAAATCCATTTTCTATCACATCTATCGGATGTGGCGTAAAGAGGACCTTTGTATACTCTGCAGACTACACCTATGGAATCTTGTATGTGTACCGCAAACACTGGTGTCTCTGTGTTTTCGGAAGACAGCCGAGACAAGTACTTTTAGCCTTCTATCATCACGTCTGGAAATGTGGCTGAATGCTTTTCAGGCTATGTCTTCAAAAATTTATATGAACCGTTTTGTATTATTCTTTGTGCACGCGTGGAGTAATTCTTAACGACCAGACAGAAACACGTTTTCTGGCCATCCTACCTTGGACAAAAATATTTTCAATACTGTTAATGATAAAAAATCCTATAAACTGGAGAAACATTTGAACAAATTGGAGACGTTAGAATCAGAACGATGTTTTTACAAATTTCTTCATTGGCACGAAGTTTAGAAAGTACGTGGAAAGACTTTGGTTCTGGTCATTTATTCATTCGTCCTCATGGTTTTGGGGATGGCGTCTCATCCTGGAAGCTGGGGAGAACTGTCCGGAGAAAATAAGAAAAGAAAACTGGTGGTTCGTAGAGTCCAGTCTTTGGGAGAAGATTATCTGCCTTATTCAAGCTGCAATTGCCGGTCTGTTGTGTGGAAGAACAGTGGCGAAAAAGATGTAGGATTCGATAGCACGGAATCAGGAGCGTTACCTTATTCGTCCATTTTATCTAACATCATTACGCTTCCAGTTCTTTACCAATCTTTTTTTCTGTTTCTTGTCACGTCCCGGGTTTAGAAAGCGTCTTTTACCGCTTTCAGTAATACGTTCATTTTTTTATACTCTGGTCTCTATATACGGACATGGGACGCAGGTATTTTTGTTTGACAGTTTCGTCTGCCATTTGAACGACAGCCCTTAGATTCATTCGATTTCTCCGTCTTAAAAAAAATTATGAGCGTGGTTAATCATCATGGAAAGTAATACGTTATTTGTGATTGAATCTGCACTTTTAATTAATCAAAATGACAAACCATCTAGGCATTAATTTTGAATGTTAAAATCTGCATAAATAGCCGTTAAATTGTTCAAGAGGGCACGGTCATTTTGGTAATTAAGTGTAAGTGACCCATTTCTGTAAGTCCTTTACAGCTTTGTGATCTGAATCTGTATCATGTTCACATTTCATACAACTGTAATATCTATAGCGATGGTCGATTTTCGAGATACCAGAGTAACCAAACGACGTAGGTTTGCAGATGGCAGCATGATAGCGATAGGCTACAAATTACTTCCAGACTTACTTTTAGTCGAGTTAATCAGATTACTTCGTTACTTGTAAGTGATTAGCTATGAACTGGATAATCCAGGTTAGATATCCTGCCGGGATAATAATATTCCTCCTTACTAGAATATGTAATCTTATTCTGGAACCCGCCAAGCATTTTATTCTCATTTTCCTGGTGTAGAGCGGCCGAAGCGTAAAGCTAATCTAAGTTCAGTCGAGTGTCGAGGGTACGAACCAGATTAGCTTGACATTTATTCCCAGCATGCCTCCCTTCTTATGTGATGCATAGACCAGGGACTGCCCTATAGCCTTGGATCATAAGAACGTAAGACTGCGAAATTCGATGGCAAGGTCTTTATTTTGAAGAATAATTGTAGGCCTGTACTTCCTTGTTTAAGAGCTCTGAAATGACACATTAGATTTTCTGTTTCACAGCAATATATCTAATTTTGTCTGTATAAAGATATTTCAAGACCACGGTTAATTTGTTATCCTTAAAGGCGCTTGAATGGGTCAGATTATATGACGTCGGATGATAGGAGTATTGGTTAATAATGAATTTGAGAGAATGTAGAAGGAAATGGTTCAGGTTTAATTTTAGGCCAGCCAAGTATCCAGGCCTGTCTGCAGTACGTCGGATTTAAATTTCTTTGTTCAAGAGTTCTTAAAGTTTATATGTTGGGTGCTTCATATGTCTTACTTTAATTTCATGTATTTCATTCTGTCAGATAAAGTAGAAGTCGGCTGTACTGAGCTGATTGAAGATGTGCAGAACTGTGTACCTTGCGTTAATGACAAAGCTTATTGTGCTGCAATTGATATTGTGTTACACATAAACGAATAATAAAACAATTACGTTTGTTAGCCCCGTTGCCTTGAACTGAAGCTTGTTTCGCATTGCACAAGCGCCAGGAAATATGACAATATGCGGAAATGTTACACGGCTTTCAGAACATCTAAAATGGAACTGTTGAAAGAACTTCGACATCATCCAGTTGGTTTCTCGTCGTTCGTTTCATTATCGCTTTACTTTTATACTGTTCAGAATGCATGCACTAATAATTATGTTCTCTTGAAGGATCCTTTATCGCGTATTGCTGCATTATAACACAGGCCCATGTTGGAAGAAAAACACGATCTCCTTCCACTTCATTAAATTGATTGTTATTAGTTCTAGTATAGCATCCGGTGGCCGTTTTGAATTTCGGTCCAGGTGTTGCCAGTGCCGACGTACGGCCTTCGTGATTCACCCTTGTCACTTCAGTCGAATGTTAGGTCTGTATTTCCAAGCAGGCCACAAAAGCTTCATTCTCAATTTAATCAACGCTGAGTAACTCGTGTATCTGTTGTGAGTCGTTAAATAGCATACACACTAACTTAGCCAATTACTTTCTCAATATGTTTAATACTAGCATGGAAGAGAGAATGTTATATCTTAATGGCAAACATTTGGTTAGAAAGTTGAGGCTAAGTAAGAAAAATATGTAATTTTACTATAAAATAACAAACCTTAGGAACTTTATGTATCGTTTTAATTTAATTGAAATGCGGTGTTTCGGAGACTGGTGTCTGTCTCCTGGAGACATTAAATTAAAATGATGAATACAGCCCAGAAATTGTGTTATTTTAATAATACGCCATCTATAGAAACCTTTAGATTTGAATTATTAAATACTGTTTGGACAAACCTGAACCTCCGAAGGGTTAATACACTTTCTTTAAATACTTAAGAAGTATTTAAATGTGTTCTCATAGAATATGTGTATTCATTCCGATTCGTATTTACAGTAAACGTATCCACCTCTTTTTATTTTATGTACTGACCTAAAATTTTCTTGAGTTCAAGGCTACGGTAATTTGTTACCTGACCTGGCCGAAAATATATGCTTGTACCATGAATAATAACTCAGATTGGTACAAAACATTAACATCATACTTAACACAGAAATTAAACAGCACTAGTACAGTTATGTTCTCATAGAGATTTCATAATTGATAGACAGAGTTGTCACAAAAATATTTATTTTATCGTCGTATCACCAAACGTAGCAATTGAGACTGTCATATGTTCCGGATAACTTGGTTTCAGATCTCGACCCCATGATTTCTCCAG